GGGAGCAGCTTGGGGCTACTCAGGTTAGCCCCAGTGTAAGCCAGATAACCAGAGCCCTGCAGTGTGGCCCAGCCAAAGAACTAAAAAAGCCCCAGAGCCTAGAGCGGGACCTGGGAAAGGGGAGGCCTAGTCATAAGGCTAGGTAAATCCAGCCAGCAGTGGCTAGGTTCCCCCGCATGAGAGCTGGAAGAACCCTTAGTGCCCAAAGTGGGGTACAGGGCCAGGAGGGGAGGTCTGGGAGTGACACAGAAAGTGACGGGTGAAAGTTTCCCTCCCAGCTAGACCCACAGAAGGGGAAGCACCCCTTGCTAGCTGGGATCCAGGGATAAACACGCCTTATATCATGAAAAACTGCGCCTCATGTTTTGTATAATTGTTATCATAATTATGAATATGTTGTACAAAAGATTACAGAATTGGGTTAGTTTGGTATAATGGGTTTTGGCTTGTATTGTAAATATTTGTCTGTATATCTTTAGTGTTGTTAAAAGACATTGCTAAGAATATTTTTGGAACGTTTTCCTTTGTTACCTATTTGAATATATATATATATATATATTTTAATAGGTAACAAACACCTATTCTGGATACCTTTTGAGAAATGCTTGGATGCTTATCTTGCTGGGGTGATCCAACCCCAACTGCCTTCCTGCCCCTTGGGCAGGGGGCTGGACCCAATGATCTCACAAAGGTCCCTTCCGGCTCTAATGTCTAGGAAACCTATGAAACCATAAAAGCAGACTAGAGCATAAACACTAAGCATTCAGTTAGCTAATTCTGACTGAAACAGACTTATTGAAAATAAACAGAAAGGGTTCTTATTCAGGTGACAACCTTTTTGCAAAACCTTTCAAATTTGTGTTTTGTTGAAGCCTGTATTTCAAGGGCACATTTTTGTTTTGTCTCATCCTTCTTTAAAGAGAAAAAACCACACTCTTTAATAAACTTCATATGACATGCCTTTATTGAAGTCCCCTCATGCCTGAGGTAAGAAAAATCACATGAAGATTTTTCATTTACTGTTCCGATAACAACAACAACTTACATTTATGTAACACTTTAATCATAAAGGATTCAAGCACTTTATAGACTCTTCATAGAGAGTTCACTCATTCAACATTGAACTTCTGTGGTGGAACACAGCAGCCATTTTCTACCAGCTATGCTACACAGATGCCTATCAATTTTAGGGCACTATATAAAAATGAAGGAATAACAATGACAACAAACAGCATTGTCACAGATGAACTGAGTAATAATTTAGACAACTGAAATTTTGGGGGGTAATTGAAATACACCTAATAAAATGATCTAATTTGGAGTTTGGTTATGAATGCTGACTCCAAAAAGAGTTAGGATAAATGAATATTCAGGGTTTTTTTTTGCTTTTCATCATAGAGATTTTTTCCCCTGATTCCTGAAGCATAAGGCTCTTCCCAGTTCATGTGGGCTTTTCTGAGATGAGACCTATCCTACCATGTAACAGGAGCATAAATAGCTATAGCTGAACAGTGAACTTTTTGAAATTAGTATTAAAAAAAACAACTTGCCCTGCAGTGTAAATTATTTAAACCTTCTCAGTCTTGCACGGTCTCTCTCTCAGTTTCTCCTGTGGTTTGTTGCATTTGGTTTTCAGTAAAACTAATCTCTTAGGGACAGGGAACCAAAAGCCTAGGGCCTGGAACAACGGGACAAAGAGCCTCAATAATAAGTGTCGACAAGATCTGACCCTGCTTAGTTAAGGAGGTCTAATCTGATCATCATCTCAGTACAATTCAATTGCAGGAACAATATGCCCTGTGTCATATGGGTCAGGTACTGTGTTAAGTTACTGACCTTAAGTGATCCTTTTCTGCATCTCTTCACCATAGCTACTCTTCAAATATACTTTGCTGTACTTGACTCTTTATTGCTTTTAAAATGTCATCTCTTTTTTTTGTTTATACTATTCCAGTGATACCAAGCTGTATGTCAGATTGATATAGATCTCAGGGTATTGCACGTGGCTGTTCTCCTCCAGAGGTGTCTCATTTTGTTAGTGACCATGCAGAAAGAATGTAATGCAAACTACAGAAACACTTCCCCAAGGTACCCAGTGGACACATCTACACGTGCAATTGATGGGGTGCATCTTCACAAGGCATTTACTGTATGACTAATTAGCTCTGCAGTAAATGTCTCAGTGTCTAGACATGTGCTCCTATTACGGCGCAGGAAACTAATAAGCTCTGCAGTATTTACAAATACTACCCTGCCGTTGAGTTTTTTCTGTGCACAGCACCACATGTGTAGATGCTGACCTGGTTGCCTGTGGCACACGAGTGCTTGAGTGCAGGAGCTATCTGCTTTCTAGCCCCATGATGAAGTACCCTTATGCCCCAGCCAAACCCTCTGCAGCACGTTGAGCCTAGTTGGAACAGCCCTGGGCTGGCAAGCTGGCCCCTGGGGCCTCCTGCCAGCCAGGCCTACTCTGATCAGGCTCCATGTACTACACATGAATACACTTTGGAGCTGACTGCTCCAGAGTTAATTGCTCCTAGGTGCATATTCAGACAGTGCACCCAGGAGCAAAAGACTCTGGAACAGGCTCCAGAGTTTATCCATGTGCACTAATTGCATGTGTAGATGCATCCAATGCAACTAAATAAACTGCAGAACAGCAAATTGAGCCAAGAAGGAGCAGTTTAGGCCAGGGCTGCTCTTGCCCTGTTCTGCCCCCCTGTAGGAGCCAGGGGGAGCTCCAGGCTCTGGCTGCAGCTTCCCAGGTTCTGCCCTGGGCTGACAGGGAACACAGGGGCCAACCCTTGTCTCTGGCTTTGGTTGGCAATGGCAGTGTGGTCCATGGCCTGGAGAGCAGCCCTGGGCTGGCAGGGAGCATGTGCCCACATATATAGAACAAACAGCCTAAAGTTGTCAGAATTTTTTTATGCCCCTTCAAGGTACCAGTCTCTGTTCTGTGGTCCTCTAAGACTCCATTTGGTGGCAAAGTGTCTCTTGAATATCCTTGCTCTAACTCTGTGCCTCATTTTCACTTTCTATTAAGGAAGTATTTTACTCCGTTCTAGGTGTTATTCTTATAAATTCTTCTGTAACAGTGTGCAACAAATAAATGGCACTCTGTTTTAAATCAGCTGGCAAAACAAGAATGAGCTGACATTTTTTACAGGAACTCCCATATCTACATTGCTGTCCAGAACATTAGTTTTCTGTTATCTCATTACTGTACATAGTAGTAAGTGTATGTTACTTTATTCTCCTTCTCACTGCAAAGCCTTTTGCTGCCTTTTGCTGCTGTGTGTGAAAGGTGTTACGTATAAAAATAAAATATACTGTGTTTTCAAAACAGCTTAGAAAAATTTTAGTCACTAGAAAGTTAACTCTTACCTGGACCAGTTCCATCATGGCTAATCAGAATTCTCTTTAGGTCTCCTAGTGATATAGCCTTTAGGCAGAAGATATCTACCTGTAGAACCAGAAAAAAAAATAAGACTGATGCAGGTCTTGATTATATGGTCCAAGTATCACGAGACATGTTCAAAACTGTTGCCTTCCAGATGCTACTTCTGGAAACAAGTTCAATTAAGCATTAAACTTACTCCTTAACTCTGAATAGAAGTAAGTCCCAGATTCCTTGTGTATTTCTTCTTTAATCACAAATACCCAGGTTAAAAAAAGAGCAGAGCATATGAGGGATATGGGTTCATCCTTGGAGAGTTTGTGTAAGTATGGATTCTCACCGTGTTATTTTGGGCCCACATGTATAATACTGTATATCTTGCACAGGTTCAACTGCAAATGGAAGTAATATCAATAGATAAAGCTTGTTGTTTTCCTGACATCTGTAAAAGTGAGTCAAATCCTAAAAGGTGTGTTGATGCCTTTGATGCAAAAGGTCTTAAAACTGCCTCAATCAGGTAGCTGGGGATTCCATAGGCATGGGACAAGCCTCAGTGGTATCTTCTAAACCCTGCTTGCCCTGCTTCCCCAACACAGTATAGGGAAGATGCTGGGGGCAGCAGGGATATGTAACTTGATTCTAGGAGTGATAGCCATACAATCACAGGTACAGAAACATTACCATCACTGTGCGACCCATGCATCTTATAAAAAAAATCATCAATATAGCTTGACTTTGAATATTTGAAACTCTCAGCAAATTATGCCCCATAATCTACAGACCAAAAATAAAATAATTCTGTAAATAATTCTGAATAAAGGACATATCTGAGAAAACTAAAATGATCAAAGAATATTTGTGAAGATGCATGTAGACTTTTTTGAAGAACCTATTTGCTGCTAGTAAACTCTCAGCCTTGATCAGAAATAGTGCAGCTTTGCAAATTTTTTTCTTTACCTGTCCTTGCTGAAACTTGACTTTATTTTTCTTAGATCTGTGGAGCTTTCGTCTGCCAGTATCTCCTCTTGTTCCCATTAGGATGATATATACATTAGAATCTGTTTCAGCACCAAGTTTAGACCCAGTGTGCACATGGATCTCATAAACCACCACTAAAGAAAAAAAAGAGGAAAAACCTTTTGATTATTTGCTTTTCTTTTGTATGTACTTATCTGCTTTATCATTGACAGTTGGCCAGAAGATTGTACCCTTTCTGTCAAGTTTGGAATTAGCTGCAATGATCTACACATTTGTCATCTCCAGTCTCAGTAACTCTAATTCTCTGTACATAAATATGAAACCACTGACCTTAAAAAGCAACAGTATGTGCTGAACATAGCAACCCCATCTGCTCAGTAAAACAGGCTAGCAAGCATTCATTCCCCAGTGTTCCATTTTCTTGTCTCCCTGCTGAAAACCAGGCCAAATTTGAGAATTGAAGGACTATCATTGACAACTCCATGGGTTTGGTGGAACAATCTCAAGAGTGAAACTATCTTGTGCAAAATCATAGAACTCTTGGCAACTGGCCCACAAATACAAATTGAAACCCCAAGAGAAAAAGAATAAGAATTCTGGTTAATCAAAGCACTTTCAGATCTGTCTGCTATAGAAGCAAGGATGTACACACACACACATATACATGCATCTTGTCTATGCCAAGAAAGTAGGTTGTCAGTGACCACCTGACTTGTTTTGAAGGTGTTTTATCAAATCCACAGTAAGCATCAACACATTAAAAAAAGCCCTCTTAATTAAATATATTCACTAGATTATTTTTAAAAAAACATCTTTCTATTCTACTCTGGGCAGATCCATACTCACAGTTCAGAAATAAAGGTAATATATTTAGAAATTTTGAACTACACTAGTATCACCATAATTAACCAAATACTAAAAGTTCTGTTTCAGAATAACTATTTTTAGCAGTTACATGGTACTGTATTCCAGTGTACTTATTTATTTATTAGCTTTCCTTTTAATATAAATAAATTTTGCTCCTAATTAGGTCTTAGTAGCATTTTTTTCCATGTGGTGTTTCTATTCTAATCACAGCTGGTCACTTCTGTTACTATCTAGTACATGATAAGAGAGATTATTGTTTCAGTAATGGAGATTTTAATAGCCCTCTGGAGAGGAGAAAGATGACAAGGACCCAAAGGAAAGCACATTTAAGCAACCTTTAAGAAAGAGATGAAAGACAAGTAGGAAAATTATAAACTATTATGATGCTGGTATTAAAGAGTATTCTGTAGATATCAATTAAAGGTGCTACTACTACTGAATAACTGCTCCTAATAAAATCTAGTATTTACACATAGCACATTTCACAAACAAAATATATGAAAACAGTTTTTTAAACAACCTAAAAACCTCACACCTATACTCACATCCAAATCATTCCTTACCAGTGATATTCCATGCAGTTAACATTGCATGACAAGTTCAAAAACTGGAAAACAGTTTAGGACAAGAAGTGAAGAACACCACCATGCATATTTGAAGATGCAAAGGGAACTAGAGTAGATATAATATATGTCTGACCAAGCTGGAACATAGTCATGGCATTCTTGGAAAAAAGCACCATGGATTTTTTAAATAGATTTACTCTGGAGTCTGGCCACTGGTCAGATGTTCAGGTAAAGGAGTGATAGGATCTGATGTACAAGCCACGTGCATCACATAAGCATGGCAAGAGGCATGATTGTGGGATCCAGATCAGATCCAATGATGCCTAATCACCGATGCAGTGAAAGCCTGGAACCACAAACCCAGGCATCTCCTGCACACAACTTAAGATGCGTTTAACTGACTATCAGGTCTTAAGTGTAACACATGGCCAAGGTGTCATACAAATGAATACTTCTCTAAATCTGTCAACAAATGGTGTACTGACTCAAAATGAGAGACTTTCTTTTTGAATCAACATAATTGCTTCCTGCAATACTTTGAAATTCTCTGGTCACATTTTCATAGATTTCATAGACATTAGGGCTGGAAGGGACCTTGGGACCAGCACTTTCTAGCTTGTGAGATATGATTAGATCTCACTCAGAAAGATGCATATCTGTGGAAAATGTGTAAAACCTGATAAAAACGAGTTATTATGCTTCTAGCAGAGATACTTCTGCTCTAAGAGAAATGCCAGTCTTTTTCATGGATGACATGAGGCAGCTGGGAGTGAAGCTGGAAGCATAATTAAGTTGGATATTAAAGTGATGTTTAATACCATATACAGTTGTACACTAATTCTGTACAACAGGGGTATCAAAGATACATCACATGGGCTAGATCTGGCCTGCGGAGTGCTATCATCTGGTCCATAGTGACTGGACCCAGGCACTACCATCTGGTGCATGCAAAACCAGCCCCACGCACTGCACACAGAGTGTGGGGCCAGTCTGGTGCACATTGTGGGCAGAACCCAGGGCTTGTCCATGCTGCCAGCTGCACTCAGGGTCAGACTAGAGCTTATGCAGCTGGCAGCACCACCCTGCCACTGCACTCCAAGACGCTCCATAGCACCTCTACCAACCCAGGCCCACACACTGGATCCAGCCTGAGGACCAACCCAGAACCACTCATCCAGCCCATGGGACCCGATGAGTTTGACACCCCTGCTGTACAATAACAAAGTAGAAGAACCTGCTTTTGAATTTAAAAAAAAAAACTGTTCAGATGATGGAGGGGATAACAGAGAGAGCACGGAGAGCAAATTGGCAGAGTGAATATGTACACCTAGCAACAGATTATGATCAGTATTGCAGAAGGTAGGGCAAGGCGGGTGGCATCTTAGAGACTAACTGATTTAAAGAGACATTACCTATAGGCAACAACCTACCTGATCAGATGCCATGGAAGGACTGGCAGAAGGAAGAACTTTATATAGAAGGGAAGGGGAACCTCTACGAGAGGTAATACCATAAGTGTATATTGATTAGATTGACTGAGATGAACAAGGTTGATAATACACAGAGAGACATCAGAGTTAACAGCAAGTCCAAGCAGCAGGATAAGGACCCATAGTCCCTGTTAAGACCACAGTTAATACAATCAAGTCTTTGGATGATCAGTATTGGACACAATGCTGTCAGTCAAATTTCCAAAATAGCAGGTTGATTGTGCTTTTATTCCCATGGAGAATGCTGTCAAACTGGACTCTTGGTTGCGGAAAGTATTATTCTCAGTAAGAGGGGTGGATTCTAGCCGCAATACTGACCCCACAGCTGTGTGCTAATATTTTATACCTGTGGTTTTGAAACTACATATCATCAGCAGATGCTATTAGCAGAATGTAGTCCTAACTAAAAGATCAGACAGACATCTATATTGTGTAGGCCAACTAGTGATTTGTATTATTGAAACTGCAGGGAAAATAATTGTGGGTACATTTTAGAGACAGGGAAAACCCTATTTGAAAATTAAGCCCTGCTGTAATAAATGATTTAAAGGAAGGGGCTCTGAACAAATTATTTTACTTTGGATGTAGTATCAGGCTTGGCTGATATAGATTAAATTGCTTTATTGAGATAAATTGGTTCATTCATCAAAGTGAATGAATGAACTACTGGATGCACAGGAACAGCATTAGGGAAAACTAAAACATAACACAGAAATTGGCTCATATTTAATTTATAATATAAAACCAAAAGACTATGAGATAATCAGAGAAACTATAATGACTGAATCAGGTATGACCTTCTCTGGACATGCGTCTGGATAATTCACCTTGAGTAAAAAAGAAGTGCACATTAAATAAATAAAAGAAAGAAAGACAGACAAAAAGAATAATACATATACCTTTTTGTGACTATGCCGCTCTCTTGCCACATGGAGAATTTTAGATTTGAATATGTTTAGTCTGTCTAAGGTAAAAGTGAAGCCCCTTGAGGCTGGGATAATGTTTTATTTTAGGTTTTGCACACAGAAACAGTGCTCAGTAAATAACATTTTGGGGCAAGAATAACAACGGAATGCACATTCTGATTAACTAAGCCTGTAAACAGACATCTCATGTGAGGAAGTTTGGATTGTTCCAGGTTTTGACTCTGATCAAAACAGTAAGGGCATAGCCCTCGGTACACAGAGCCCTCCAAAGTTGCATTGATGCCCTTCTGCCAGTAGGTGGCCATGAAGAATAGCAGCCTGACATGCTTGCCCCTGGAATGAACCTCAATTAAGTTAGATGAGCTACAATTAACTTTACAGATGCACGCAGCAATACCCTGGGAAAAACTGTTAGCACATTTTATCCAGCATACTTCACAGGTACTTGAAGCAGGACAATGACTGTGAACATCTGTGTAGGATCCAGGTACACGAGGCTTTCTCCTGGGAGAAATGCAATGCCTGCTTACAGCCTTATATGTGCATTACGATGTACTTTGACAGGAAACTCTCTATACTATTGTATTAAACAGAAAATATCTTGTCCACGTGTCCTGCAAGAGATAGCTCCCTTGGAGCAAGAACCTAAACCCAGAGAGGGTACTCATCAGCAAGCTTTTTTTTAAAAAAAATGTTTTTGCTTACTTGCTGCTCCTATGAATCCTGTATTCATTGTTGCACAAAGGCATCTCTTTATAGGAAGGATGAATAGTACCACTCCACTCACTTCATTACATGATATTTTTGCAATACTGCACTATGGTAGCATCTGATGAAGGGAACCCCTGCTCACAAAAGTTTATGCATCTGGGACTCAGCTACTATAAGGTGCCTCTCTACTTAGCTATGCTAGTCTAAAGTCAGGCAGAAGGCAAACTACCTCTCTCTGTTCATAAAAAAAACAACAAGTATTATATTCCATGCTTCTCAAGGGGGTGGTTAAAAATGATACCAAAGAACAATATAAAAATGCCTATAATGAGATCTAACCAAGGATTTAACTAGACAGGTATTCTTTTTCCAATAGAGGCTGAGGCTGGATGCTTCAGATGAAGGAAAAAAACCACCCTAAATAAATCTCCATAAAGCACATCAGTATGCAGTGATATCCAAAGGAAACATATTTCTCAGCTATTAATCAACTTGTATCCTCACATTTCAATTAATAGCTCCACTGATTTCATAACAAAAGAATTTATTCATTATAACATAAAAGAAACCTACAGGAAAAGTACAGGTATTAGTTGATTTACTTCATGTCAATGGATCCCTGCCTCAAACTGAATTTTTACATTGGCACTTGGTAAATGTCAATGGATGATAATGACAACATGAGAACTTTTCATATCTTGTGGTTATCTTTTATGCCATTTTATTAAAGTCTGGTTCACTGGCAATGCCAGGAACACCTAAAACCAGCCATTTTCCCACCAATGCTGGAACAGACTGACCACAGTATTAGCTTATTTTAATCCCCTCTATACTCACCCTTACATTTCTTGAAGCAAAAAAAAAAACAAAACCTTTTGGGGATAGAGTTTTTCTTGATTTGTTTCCCTCTAAAGATGAGGCAAAAAAGCCAGATTACATCAACTTTTCTGCACCAAGCATGAACATAATAGATAGAATAGAATGCAGATATCTGCATTCACAATTGCAATAGATAGCCTCATTACAAATGTTGCATTTAGGTAACTTAGAAACAACCACAATTTCAAAATTGCAGCACTATGCAAGCTCAGATCAAAAGCCCAAGTCAGGTTTGAAGAAAATAATTTTTGCAGATTTCAAGTCACAAGCAGTTAAAGCAAAGCTGTGAGCACTTAATGTAGCATTGTTTTTTAGCTTTAGGTCTTTTGGGGGGTGGTGAGAGAGAGCGAGAGAGAGAGAGAGCGCGCATTCAATTAAGAACATGATTATTAATTTTAAAACAGCCATAACTAAAACTATTTGAAAGAATCTGGGTCTGAATTAGTACCAAGGAAAAAAGCCAACTTAAAAAAAACCTGGTTCAGTAAGTATGAAGTTATGAACATTGGAAGTCAGGACCAATGTTCTGAACTGCCAGAAAAGAGATCCAAGAGTAAGAAGGGATGACAGCAAGGAAGACATTAATCAATGATAGAAGAAGACAAAAGGGAACACATAGATCTGGCCGATCTGGAAGTAGGTAAAAAACAAAGGTGAGATATAAGCAAGGGCAGAGCAATACAGAGCCCTGAGGTTTAAGGAGCCTGAATTTGATATGGGAGATGTAGGCAAGTCAGCAAAGAGGTGAAAGCATCACTTTGAGCAGAAAGATTATTTTAACAGCACCATCTTGAGTTAACTGGCATGTAAGAAAGCAAGCAGGGATACCAAGGGAAAAACCTACTAAAATCAGAAAAATAGAGCAGAAAGGAGGAATTTAGGGGAGTTCACAGTTTCACAGAAGTTTAAAGCTGGAAGGGACCTTGTGAGATCACTGGGTCCAGCCTCCCTGCTCTGGGCAAGAAAGACTGCTGGAGTCAAATAACCCCAGCAAGGTGTATATCCAGTCTCCTTTTGAAGATCTAAAAGGTAGATGCCTGCACCATCTCTACTGGGAGTCTATTCCAGAGTTTAATCTCACAAATCATGAAGAAGTTTTTCCTTATATCCAGTCTGAAACCTTTTTCTAGGAGTTTATGACCCTTGCTCCTGGTTTTCCCCTGGGGCACTTTGGTGAATAGTTGTTCATCTAGTCCCTGATGCTCATCCCTGATATATTTGTAAACTGCCACCATATCCCCCTGAAGTATTCTTTTTTTATATATTTATTAAATTTGAATTCATTGAAAGAAGAAATTTCAGAGATGATATAAATGAAGACCAGGTAGAACCCTCGATTTTGGTATGGAGGATGGAGATTACAGAAGCCAGACAAGTAAGAGCCCAAGAAATCAAAACTAATTCCAAGCTTTCAAGTTTGTTGGAAACACAACTGAATGTTGGATGGAGAAAGATGGGTGAAGATTAGGTTTAAGGAGAGATGCTGAGTAATACATTCTAGTGATAAATAAGAGTAATAAAAATTAAATTTCTCATGAGTTTAGTTTATACTTTTTATTTTAAAATATTTTGTCTAATTATTTTTAATTAAGTCAATTTAGTACTATTTTTAATGAAGTGAATTTAGTATTTTTAATTAAGTGAAGTCACTGGTATCAGATTGACTTGAAAGCATGGGAGACAAATTACTAAATTGCAGCAGGTTACTATTAGGTAATATGTAGTAGATCATTTGTTCTGTTGGAGAGAATGACATGATGCGGTTTGTCCAGCACTTTTAAGCAATTACCCTTTTAAATGGGAAATGCAACTGGATAGAATTTCATTTGCTGGTTTTGAAGAAGCTAAATAGAAAATCTTTGGGAAATCAATACATTTATATTGATGTTCAATTTAAATGAGCTAAAAATCAATAGTTAATTTGTAGCAATAAATTTACAAATTTAGAACATTTCTAAAATGTTCGCTCTCTCTCTTTCACTAAAATATAGGCAGCAAGTAAAAAAATGACAATGTTCCTGCAAAAACAATGCCCCAAAGTTAACAGGGCTGAATAAAAGACCCATTGTGAAAGTATATTCAATGATAGAAAATGAGGATGTGATTCTCACCTGCCCCACACCTGAAGTAGATTTTTACAATTGTGCAAAGTCAGTATATACATTGGAATGATCATACCCTGCACCTCTTTTGGACTGGTACACATGATTGCACAGCACAGAACTGGGTCCTGTGGATCAAGCTCATCCTTGACATCACTTTGCAGATGATTTTTTCTATTGTACTCGTATGTGGTATTTATGTCAGCTGGTGACCCAACAGTAATTCTTTGGCAAGGCATTATTATTTCCCAAATGTATAGGCCTTAGCTCAATATGATCACTTTCAATTTTGTAACTCCTTAATAAGTGAGAGTGTTAGGTTGTGTAATGTTCTGGAATCTGGAGAATGGGGAAAGTACAAAATGAGCGAGCAGGCAATGTCCGTCCTTCTAAATATTTGTATAGTTTGTGTAATAGAGGAAAGTAGATTATTTCAAACTCAAATTTTGGATTGGCATATCTGATCCAGACCATGGTTCTTCTCGTGGGCCAGACAACCCAGCTCCACATCTGGTCCATGTGATTTCTTGCCACAGCTTACCAGAGTCAGTGTGTGAGCACAGCCAGCACACAGAGGGTCAATATTGCCACTCTGCTGCCCATTTGTATTCTGATGGGCAATCAAAGTCTGGAAAATTTGCTGCGGATAAGGGGGCAGGCAGTATTAATCCCCTACATGTTGGCTGTGCTGCACACTGGCTATGGGAGCAAATGCTCCACAACAAGAAGCTCCACAACTTGATCCAAGCATGAGTTGTTGGCCAGAGAGAAGCCCCACTGTCTGGATGACCCACCTCTGCAAACTAGATTCAGCCCATGTGGCCATGTGTTGACATGCTTAGACTAGATGAGCTAACAGACCCTTCTGATTTAAAGATCTAGAGAAGACCATTTTCTCAGCTCTGTTCTACAGTGTTCTTCTGGGAAATGACATTCCATTTGAGTTCTGTCATGCATTTGTCCCTCTTTTTAACTTATTTGATTGTTACTAAGTGTGTGATGACCCTTCTTTACATTGGGTCATTGTTTTCTTCTATATTCACTACCTCATCTTGAATACAATTTATTAAAATGATAATACAATAAGGCCTAGGATTGGCCAACAGTACTGTCTTGTTTATATCAAGTGAATGCTCTAAAATAAATTGTGATAAATGATTTTTCTTATATCCCCATGATCCCATAAAAATCTCAGGACCTTTTTATAATTGAATTTATACTTGTTTTTCCGGCTTCATTTGTAAAGGACAGTAGTATCAAAGGCAGTGATTATCTTTTAAGGTATCAAAAGTTAAGTGTAAAAGTAAATATTTCAGTGTTAAGACAGTGGCTTAAACCTGGTTTGGGAAACAGCTCTCTAGTGGCTTCAATCAGATTGCATATAAGCAGTATTAGATGAAGCTCAAGGTGAAACTATGCTTATATTTCAAGGTGGTAGCAAATAATATCAAATTCATCTTGATACTTTCCTGATCCACCCATTGGTTGCTCTAAAGAGCATCACAAACCAAAGTTACAATAGTGAAAGATCACAAAAAGGCAAAGATTGCAAAGACTAGCCACATCCACTGTATAGATGTTGGGGACATGGGTGATATAGCAACAACCAGAAAATTCTACTGTGTAAAAACGGATTGTCCTGGGACTGGTTAGATCAACTTTTGGACATGGATGGAAGCATGGAGGAAGCATGAAAAGCTGCCGATCCATCACAATATGCAACACTTTTGGGTTAATAAATATGTAAAAAAATGTACTCAACACATACATGGCAAAATCTCTTCTGTTGTAGAGTTTCTAATTGCCACTTCTTTCCATGTGTCTCTTTCATCTAGATCTTCAGCTAGCCAGCAGTTTACAGGCAAATGAATCTTCTGATCAGAGACTAGAGCCACTTTCTCGAGTTTAATTTCCTCTAAGTACCAGCTGGGATCACTTCCACTGTTGTCATGGCCAATGCGGATTTTATAAAGTTGTCCAAGTTCTTTGAGATTAACCTTTAATAGTAAAAATAGAAGAGTCTCTTATAATGGTACATTTCACCAGTCCTCCCTGTACTGATAACAATGCAGATGAACCAGCTTACAATTTGTATGTGGCCCTGGACTGTTGCCCTAATACTCACTGAATCTGAGGATTTAGGCACATGGCACAGTTGAACCAGAAAATGCAATTCGTTTTATCCACCAACGTAGATTACACAAGCATCTGGAGAGGAGAGACAGGCAGCTCTTGCAGGGTTGCTTCTTGCAGCATGAGAGGAACATACCAAGAGTTCTGCTGCATGTTCGAATTAAAGCTGGACAGAAACCACCTGTAGAGTTGTTACACATTTTCAAGCACTAACTTGATAGGTGGCTAGATCTTTTTTACTGTAAAGTCACTTCTATCTTGTGATAATTACTTTGCACTTATGGCTGGTCTAAATTTATTGTGCAAGTAACCATCATTATGCAGGTAATTGCATAACATATGTAACATGTAGCAGGGGCCTAATAGATGGCAGAAGGGCAGATAATAAGTTTGTTCACCTCTTTGTTTCTTACAGCACAGTTACCTGGGGATAGCTGTTTTTTTTCCTGTTTTTTCCTGAGCAATTTCTACACCAAATTCCAGATAGTTATACCAGTACAAGATTATATGCCATACATCTTCTCCTTGTTTACTGATGTGATTAAGTCATGTACCCAGGTCCGGAGTAGAGTACTGTTAATACATATGCACAGTATTTTACTGCACAAACAACTTAATTGACATCAATGCTGTATTATGCCGATCAAGTAAAAGGGACCAAACAGGCAGGCTCCTTTTTTAGGTCTCCAGGTATATTCTCTTTGGGGACTGAGGAGCCAAACAAATATATAAACATTTAAACAAGTAGAATGCATTTTCGTATCACTGCCGTATATGGTACATTTTGCATACTATACAGCTACTGTCAGGTGCATCTTTAACTATTTCTACCCCATACCAGCCTTCAATGGCCCAGTTTTATCTTAAACTTCTATTTTTGTGTGTTGATGTCAGGAGTTAACTGTTTCTGTAAATGCTGACACCACATTGCAGCAAATTTAAAACAGTGGAACTCAGCTATGTCACACTTAATATTGCATAAGAACTTCTGTTTTGAACTGCACAAGTTTGCTGAGAAACACTGAAGGCAGCAACCTAAACATAAAAGCAGGGTTAACCAGTTTTTAGTTTCTCATCTTCCATGGCAAATTTGACAGCATTCAATATAGAGAAAAATCCTGGAAAAGATTAGGTCCTAAAAAAATAACTGGTTTTCTTTCCTCATCCCACAAAACTAATATAGCATAAAATAGCATAATAACTGGTTTGGGCAATAAGTTGAGACAAATGTCATCTCATTAGTCAGCACCACTGAAACTCAGGATAGATAAATTTTCTCTTTAAAGGCATGACTTGGGGAGTAAAGGGCTGGAGATAAGTCTACTACACCAATGTCTGCTCCTGATGGTATTATTTATTTGGCAGATGTAATGTCCCCTGGGAGTACAGAGGAGGGATTCAGCTCACCTTTTTGACAGGGCACATAGTGCTTTCTTCCTCCATGGGGCTGGCTCTGTGGATCTGAGGAGAGTAAGGAGGGCATGAGGGTCACATCCCCTTTGCTCTCCTCTTGAAAGTGTAGTGCTTACACTAACACAAGACTGTCATAGCTCTTGTGCTTTCCAGACAAAAAAAACTAGAGAAGTGTCTGCCCACTGCTTAAAGGCAGGGAACAGTATTTTCTCCATCTTATTCCTTAGATTCCTGAGACAAAACAGACATGATTCTAGCTTGATTCATGGCATGTATGATGATGATGATGAAAAGAAAACTTTACTTACAGGAGAAGTTGGCAGTCTGTTTAACCAAAGCAATACATTTAACCAAAATATTACCTGGAGCAAGCATTAGAAACTGGGTGTGCCAGTGACTCACGTAAGGAATATGCAGCATATATTCAGAGCAGGTAAACATTATCTTGAGTCTAACTCAGACCAAGTGCAGGTATTAAATTGCCTGAAAGCTTACAATTAAAGAAATTCTTTTTGCAAAAATCTTGTTGGTCTAATAAAAGATATCTTTACTACGAGTCCCGATTGGTATTGAATTGAGTCATACAGGGTGCATCTACATATGCAATTAGCTAGTAACAATAAACTGGCACAGTTTGCACCACATTTTTTGCCTTCCGGGTACAGTTTTTATTTACCCATGTGCTCAGGACCCCAGCAAGTGATATGGGGTAGAGCAGCTCTGGACTGGCAGGGATTCCAGGGGGTCAGCTTGCCAACCCAGGGCTGCTCCAGCCCAGCTCAACATGCTGTGGAGGAGCTGGCTTGGGCTCCAGTACAGGGCTAGCTGGCATGCAGCCCCTGTATTGTGGCACCCTCATGCCCCAGCCAACCGCAGTCACTGTCTACATGTACATTTTAGTGCATGCAACTACTCCACTGTAGGACAGTGCTTGTCCTATACAGTACTATTCTCCATCAGAGTTAATTAAGTTACTGTGCCCTAGTATGGGAACACGTGAAGACAGTGACGCTTTACTGTGGAGCTTATTAGTCAGCTCTGCAGTAAAGCATACGTGCAGTTGCACCCACAGGGTTGCAACTTATCATCCAGCCACAAAACTAAGCACATCACAAGCAGTGGTGTATTATAAAAACAAATGTAATCAGGTGTTAGAGTTATAATTTTGTTGTGAACTAAATAAGTTGGCAAAAAATGCTGTGATAGAATTGGCTTGGGCAATTCCAGGAAATGTATGTTCATTCTTTGATGGAAATTAAGGCAGGATTGTTAATGGCAGGCAGTAAATCCGTTATACAATGGTAGCTGCAGAACTGATAAAGGCAATTCAGTAACAGTTTAAAACCTGCATCTCACATACCCGTGTTTGAACATTAACTCACCCATGTTTGAATATTAGTATTAGTTTCTGACATAGTAATCAGATAATCCCTAAGCATAATATCCATAAACATAATTCTCCTCCTCCTCACCGGAAGTACCTCTGGAATCAGAATCTGCTACCTAAAAGCACATCAGCAGTTTGATCATTCTGAAACATGAATCAGTGACTTGGCAATGAACCATTCTGAGTTATTGCTGGTGATGCGTGCAGTACCTATTGTTATTTTGTGTACAAAAGGCATGTACACAAAATAACAGTAGGTACTGCATGGTCTGTGCTCCCTGCCCCTGTATTTTCAGGTAGCAAATTAACTGCTGAGTAGAGCAAATTACAGCTCACTAAGAGTCTGCACGTGTAGATGCAGATGCTTACTATGCAGTAATTTGCTCTACTGCACAGTAAGTACCTCATGTAAACACGTCCAGTGAGAATAAAGTGAACATTTTGTTAACTTTAGTGTACTCATGGTGTTTAACATTTATGCCAAAGATGACAATAATCACATGTAGCCTGGGTGTACTTGGGTTTTGTTTCTCCCGTCTCCAATCAGAGGGGATTGTTAGCTGGCAGGTGTGCTGTGGGTGAACTGCACGCTGCTCACAGTTCCCTCCGTCCTTATAGAACCAGGCCAGGACAGTTACGTGGCTTAACTATATACAAATGTATTAATATTAACTTATTACAGAAGAAATAAACAAATTATAAACATATGTACACTTATATATAATATACAGATATATAATATGTACAATTGGGGTGATGGGGCGCACCCAGAGAGTAGTGGTGGACAGGTCATACTCAACCTGGCAAGATGTGAGCAGTGGGTTCCCCCAGGGCTTGGTCCTTGAGCCTGCACTGTTTAACATCTTCATCAGAGACTTAGATGAGGGGGTTGAAAGCACGTTGTTCAAGTTTGCTGATAACACTAAGATGTGGGGCAAGGTGGGCACACTTGAAGGGAGAGTGAGGTTACAACTAGATTTAGACAGACTACAAAAGTGGGCATATGAGAATAGGATGCGGTTCAATGTAGATAAATGCAGGATGCTGCACCTTGGGAGAAGGACTCCACAGAATACATACAGACTGGGGAGTTCCCCTCTTGAAAGCCCAGAGGCGGAAAGGGATCTTGGAGTCATTACTGACTCCAAGATGAACACGAGCCGCCAATGCCAGACCGCAGCCAGCAAGGCCAGCCATACCTTGTCATGCATCCAAAGATGCATCTCCAGCCGGTCCAGAGAGGTTATACTCCCCCTCTAAGCAACACTGATCAGGCCACAATTGGAGTATTGCATCCAGTACTGGGCGCCGCACCTTAAAAAGGATGTGGCCAGCCTGGAGAGGGTTCAGAGGAGGGCCACCCGCTTGGTGAGAGGGCAGCAGGATAGGCCCTATGAGGAGAGACTGAAGGACCTGAACCTGTTCAGCATCCGCAAGAGGAGGCTGAGGGGGCACCTGGTGGCTGCCTACACTCATCAGGGGAGATCAACAGCAAACAGGTAGAGCCCTTTTCTCCCCAGCACCACCTGGGGTGGAGGAACAATGGTAATAAGCTGATGGAGAATAAGTTTAGATTAGAAATCAGAAGGCAATATTTTACAGTTAGGGTGACCAGAATCTGGGACCAACTTCCTAGAGAAGTGGTCCTCACCCCTACCATGGGCAAATTCAAAAAGAGGTTAGATGATCACCTGTCTGGGGTCTTGTGAACCCAGCATTCATTCCTGCCTGTGGCAGGGGGTCGGGCTAGATGATCTGATCAGGTCCCTCCTGACCCTAGCTACTATGAAACTATGAAACAATAACTTATAGGCAAATTCTATATGGCCTTATACCACGGATCTAAATTCAGGTAAGTCACAGGTAAATGATAAGGGAAGGTCCCAACTGGGGTTGCAGTCATATAAACTCTATAATAATTAATCAAATCACAAAACAAGGCATTCAAATTAACAAAATATGAGGCACTGTTTACATAATATAAGGTTCATGGACACCATTCAATACCTCACCCCAGCAGGTGGGGGCACTCCAAAACCCCCAGATATCTGGGTCCCCCTGACG